TAGTTCTCTCAAGCCAGCAGATAATTTTCCATTTGAGCAGAACATGTTAAACACAAGCCTACATGTACTTTACTGCGATTGATTTGGGAGAGCATATCACAAAAATGCTTATCCAAAAAAAAATGAAGGCTAGGCCATGGGTCTAACGACAGAGATGTATTCAAAACGTCTGATGATAACTAAATTAATAAATACCAGACGAAATAACAACAATGAAGGTGAGCTACTTCGGTCACATCAAACGATATAAAATATATATTAGGAGCCACAGGGGAGATATATGTTTAGGGCAAACGAATAATATGGTGCAGCAGAGGTAACTAAGTAGACAACAATAGGATAAACAATTTTGCAGGCATTAAAGGAAGGCTTGAGACACCAAACATTGAAATAACATCAACTTAAGGTTTCACTTGGTAAACCAACACAAGTAGTAGGTCGATTCCAGGTTTCGCCTTGTTGCTTTTCAGTGGAAAACAAGAGTATGAATCAGTGAACATGCGTCGCACAACAAGCCTACACAGGGACCTGTGGACTACTCACCTGAGAATCTTTGACAGGGAGAAGGAGGAAGAGAAGGAAGAAGAAGAAGAAGAAGAAGAAGAAGGAGATACTTAATAGTAATATGTGTAGGAGTGAATCTTAATCAAAGGAACTATAATAGGATGCAATAAAAAAAAAAAAAATCAATCTTGACGTGTATATACCCATAAAATTTTTTTATGTTGCTCTGCCATTTTGGAGATGGGGAATTGATGGTGATGGTTGTATGTATCAATCGATTTCCACAGAATTAAGTCATTACTAACTGACAGGAAAATATAATGTTATAAAGAAACTATTAAACGTTTTGACAAGTCTGTGAAGGATAGATTTGTAGGTCAAGGAAGTAAAGTTACAGTCAGTCTCCAAAAACATGAAGATGTTTGTTCCCTCCTTTCCCCTTTCTCACTCTGAAACCTCATAACGCTCTTCTTTACCTAACAGGTTAACAGGCCAGACTTGAGCATGCATGTCTGTACAGTTCACTCTCACTGTACAGATTCCACTGAAGATATTGCGTGTTATCCACCCGTGAGTGAGATTTACTTGCGGCGTTTTCGTCAGAGCAGGAATCTGAGCTGTAATGTTGTGTTTTAATCGAGCGCAACTTCAACACGCAGAACTTTACGTTTCTGCCTTTATTCGAGATTCCTGGGAGTAAAGAGAGTATTACTTAATCAGATCAATGGCAGGCAATTAATGCACTGTGACCAGATACAAAGATACAACCAAAGGGTTGTTCTAGGGGTGAATACTGGGGGAGAGTGTGTCAAAAAAAAAAAAAAAACAGATACACGACGCCAGTTAAACAACATCAAGAAGTGCACTGAAAGAAAACCGTATAAGTGCACAATGAGAAGACAGGATGTTTGACACTCAATACAGACAGGTTACCTGACAAATGTGATTAACCAAATAAGGAAGAAGTAGTAAGTGCAAGTAAACTATATTATGCCATCATCCATCCATCCATCCGTCCACCGATTGATATGCCTGTCCGTTTGCCTATCAGTATGTTAATGATTTGGGGTTTTTGAACAAAGGATTCTTACAGGTCATCAACGTACATTACATCTCCCCCCGACACTTCGATGAGGTACAAGGTGGAAGAGAAGAAGAAGAACAACAACAACGGATCAACACCATAGCACACGGGTAGTAACCTATAAGTGCTCCGTCTCCTTCTAACTGAGTTCAAAGAAGCTCAGAACACTGCACAGGCTCTGTAGCAATGCCAAGGATCCTTTAATACTTTGGGTAGATTTTTAACTCCAAATTTTGCCTAGTCAGCGCCGTTAGGCTACTCTTTTCGATTTCCAACTGCCAAGGGATCTTTTTTACGTGCGCAACAATGCACAGGGGCGTCTGATCTAACTACCCAGAGAAGTCTAAGTCCACGTGATAAAATCCCAGTCCTTACCGGATATTGAACCCGGAACCTCTAGCACTCGAGGCGGACACCATGCCTCGAGACCACACAGCCCCCTATGCTTGTTTATGATACGCTGGTATAAGTTTTATGTCTAGTGTGCACGTTTTGATTTATCTGTGTGTCTGTCTACCCAATGTCAGTGTGTCATTCCGTCTTCTTGCCTTGCAGTATATTTACCATTGCACGACCCATTTCCACATCGGCCCTTATCATCAACATACAAAAGTAACATAATCACCTACCCACACTTGCACATTCTGTAACGTTAGTTGCGTATCTTTTAAAGGACTTTGCAGAACCAACCCCAATATTTGGTGGCTGTTGTGGATTTAATAGACACATTTACGTTCAATAGTCTGCTACTGCTTCCTGGGACTGAGCCCGCCACCTCCATGTTTCCTTCGTGTCAGCGCCGCCCCTGGTGGCAAGCTCTACTACAAACAACAAGCAGACAAGACCTATCAATAGTGTCACTGAGAGCAAGTGGCAACTTGACCAATCAATAGTGTCACTGAGAGCAAGAGACAACTTGACCCATCAATGGTGTCACTGAAAGCAAGTGTTAACTTGACCTATCAATAGTGTCACTGAAAGTAAGTAACAACTTGACCAATCAATAGTGTCACTGAGAGCAAGTGACAACGTGATCCACCAATAGTGTCACTGAGAGCAAGAGACAACTTGACCCATCAATAGTGTCACTGAGAGCGAGAGAACTTGACCCATCAATAGTGTCACTGAGAGCAAGAGACAACTTGACCCATCAATAGTGTCACTGACAGCAACAACTTGACCCACCAATAGTGTCACTGAGAGCAACAATTTGACCCACCAATGGTGTCACTGAGAGCAACAACTTGACCCATCAATAGTGTCACCGAGAGCAAGTGACAAATTGACCCATCAATAGGTTCACTAAAAGCAAGTGACAACTTGACCCATCCATAGTGTCACTGAAAGGAAGTGATAACTTGACCTATCAATAGTGTCACTGTCTAATATTTGTGTGTGTGTGTGTGTGTGTGTGTGTGTGTGTGGAAAGGGGTGGGGAAGGCTGATTAGGATTAGTGCTAGTCGCTGTTCACTTCATACCCCAACACCCCAATACTATTAGTCTTTCGTGGGAATCCCCAAAAAATCTCGGAGGACCCGAGAAGGGGTGAATTAAAAGATCATGGAAAGAAGCTGAAATAAAAAAAATAAAAAAAACACTAGACAACATTTACAATTGAAAGTTACCATGCCAGGAATCGAACCTGCCATCTCAACTGGCTGCTAGAACAAGTCTACTAAGGTGTGCTGATCAAAACATATCTATTTGTTTATTTAAATACATGGTGTACCTGCTGCAGTGTGAAGGTGTGTCGCGCTAACGTAATGTATATATTTGTCCGTATCTCTTATATGACGTTAATTTAGATTCTGATTAAACACGAGGAAGATCTTCGAGCAAATAGACTGATAGAATTACTGTATTATAAAATAACGTTAGTTTACAATTTGTGTCACCAACATGAAACATTTGGAAATCTCTGAATGCAAATGTGAATCGATAAAGAACTGTTTAGTACTGAATTAAATAATTCAAAATTAAGTTGCTAACAAGTAATTACTTTTGTTGTGTGAATGCTCCAGCTGTATGGGGGTTCTAGGAGATTCACTGAGTGTTATAAACTATAATCTTTGACGTTTCACCTGGTACTCGTACTCTCTTTTTCAGCCACCCACACACACCACACACACATATGTTCTTTCTCTGTCACAATTCAGTGATTCTGCTACCAACTACACACAGTAAGACCCTGATGCACACATACAGATACTTACGAGCCACCGTGTAGTCTGGAAACAAGCAAAAATATATTTACCATAAGAGTTTTATCAGTTCTTTTCTGGCCCCTTTCACACTCGGGACCCGCCATGATGTTGCGGTCTACGCCCGCCTGCGAATCCGAAGTTCGTGGGTTTAAATCCGAACGGAGCTGAACTTTTTCTTCTTTAAAAAATCCCATTGGCTTTCTGCCATGGCTGGATATAGACTTGATGAGGTCCTACGCTATATCAAGTCCCGAGGCCCCTACCGTTTTAAATTATGCAAACGAATCTCAGAAAACTGTAGAATATATACACCTTTTTGGATAATGAAATTATATTGTCGTTTAATTTTTAATTTAAAAAAAAAAAAAAAGAATACCTTTAAAAATCACTGATTTTATATAATCCTCCCCCAAAAAATGTGAAGAAATATTAAAAGTCAGTTGTATTTCAAATATGTTTTACATTTAAAGACACTACATTTGTGGACAAATATACCGTTGGGCCTGCAGACTGTGAAGCTCTAAGATGTAGTTTATATAGCTTATACCTAAACAGGATCCTCGCCGGTGCTACAGAGCCTGTGCACTGTGCTAAGCTTCTTCGGACCAGACTTAAGTTAGAATAACGGAGCACTTATGGATTACACCCGTGTGCCATGATGTTGATCCGTTGTTCAAAACCTCTAAACCTCACACCTAAATCCCGCACTGCTCTCAGGTCGACAGCACCTTAAATGAGCACCAGGTAAAGACTTAGAAAGTAAAGGCCAAAGCATGTCGTAAGAGTCGACTAATTGGGCAGCTCCCTTTGAAGTCGGAGTGCATCTGCCTGAGAGGCAAGGAACTAACAGACGCAACACTCAGGTTCTGGAGCAGGACTGCAGTTCAGAAGCGGACGAACAGCAAGAACTTTCCACTAGAGTGGACAGCTGGTGAACGCGAAGAAGAAGAAGAAGAAGATATGCGGGAATTTTTCATTTCATCGCTAAAAAAAAAAAAAATAGTCAAACCTTATTAGAGTTAGTAACTAATTTGTTACTATACATAAAAGCGAAATTACGGTTCTACAACCACCAGTTGTTTATATCTGATATTAAGATCTTTCCCACACAGTTGGAAATCGAAAAGAGTAGCCTAACGGCGCTGCCAGGGCAAAATTCGAAGTTAAAAATCTACCCAAAGTATTCCAGGATTCCTCGCCGGTGCTACAGAGCCTATGCACTGTGCTGAGCTTTTTTTTTAACTCAGACTTGAGTTAGAAGAAGAAAGGGGCACTTATGGGTTACTACCCGTGTGCCATGATGCTGATCCATTGTTCAAAACCTCGAACCAGCAAGCCGCACTGAAGTAGATACAACTCTAGAGTAGGTTCAGTCAGTTCTGACACCGATGATCTTCTCTGCCATGACGTCAGACTGTCCAGCATGTTCTTTCTCTGGCTTCCTCTGCCTCTTTTCCCCTCCAATTTTCCCACCCCCACGATGTACTCCAGTCTTCCCCTTCTCATGACACCACCAACGAAGTAAATAGACCCACTGGTCAAAGACTATCTCATCCCCACTTCTTCTTTTTCTCTTCCACCTTGTACCTCATCGAAGTGTCGGGGGGAGATGTAATGTTCGTTGATGAGCTCTGTCAAGAACACTATTAGGACTGATGTTAATTTCTGTAAGGCTGTTTTTAATGCCATCACTCCATCTTTTCCGAGATCTTCCACTCGCTCTATACCCGTTGTAACGTTTTAGTGTGGCTCGCTGTGGCAGATAGTAACAAAGCCTAAATACCCGGGTCATGGTGTCACACACAAGTGCTAACGCTGCTTGGCTCCAACGGACGTGATAGAATGTTCTTTATTATTTTTACCCAACAGAAGTTAATTCTGAAATCGGCCATTACATTTTTTTTCCTCCATTGTTCCGAACACAAAAATTTAAAACACCCATTCAATAACCACTTCCTCATTTGCAGTTTTTCTACATCCCCAAAGATGGTGGCCCGAAAGGAAGTTAAAAACGTTATCTGAAAAGCTAATTGCGTTGGCTTAAGAAAAACTTGCTATTTCAACTGTTCTTCTACTTCGTCATTCTCTCATTCCTCTTTCATCGACTCAAGCCTTTCCATCTCTGACACATCCACTTATTACAGAAGTGTCATCATTGAAGAGATTATACAGATGAAGAGTTATGTGTATGAAATCTGATTTTCCCAAGCCCTGAAGCTGAGGCTTCTGCTGCAGTTTTTTGTTTTTAAAATCAGCTTTGCTAAAGGCGCTCTTGTGACCAGTGTGTGCAGCTCTTCTGTGTGGTGAAGAGTTCATCGTGTCACCTTCTTGGAATATCAATAGTGGCTGGAATATTTGCACCTGACAGTGGTGTCCCTTGTTGATGATAGAATGGAATTTGTGGGCAGCCTTATTCATCTCCGTTGTTGCAGTCTTCGTTGCGATGTATAATAATTGTTATTTTCTTCATCATCACTGACAGAAATATTTTCTTTTTCTTCGTCAAATCCTACGTTTCTTTCGGATCATGCTCAGTTTTTTTCTTTACTTGCTTATCGCTCCTCTTATACACTGGGGTGCTTAGGTTTGCTAGAGAGATCGCTAGACTTCTCTGTCAGCGGTTTTCAGTCTTCTCTTCCTCTTATTTGCTTTCTTCTTTTACGTCTTCTTCTTCTTCTTCTTCTTCTTCTTCTTCTTCTTCTTCTTCTTCTTCTTCTTCTTCTTCTTCTTCTTCTTCTTCTTCTTCGTCGTCGTCATCTGATTCTTCTTTTTCTTCTTTTTCTTCTTCTTCTTCTTCTTCTTCTTCTTCTTCTTCTTCTTCTTCTTCTTCTTCTTCTTCTTCTTCTTCTTCTTCTTCTTCTTCTTCGTCATCTGAGTCTTCTTCTCCTTCTTCTTTTTCTTCTGACGATGATGACGATAATGATGATGCTGATGATGATGCCACTGCTGCTGCCACTTATTTTTGTGTATGCCAATCTTTTGTTTTTAATTTCATCCTGTTTCTTTTGAAGGAAGTCTATCAGACGTAATCGCACACACACACAAACACGCACGCACGCACGCGCACACACACACATATTTGCACAGGTCAACCATTCAGATAAACTAAATCTGTTGAGGAAGATACCTGCTTGGATGTTCAGTGTAAGGGTCTCCATGAGACGCTCCATGCCACTCACGCGACACTGATACTCGCCAGCGTCCTCGAGTTTTACTCGCTTGATGGTCAGGACAGACGAGTTCTCTTTGAGGGCCACCTTGTACTTGCTGGCAGGGTTGAACTTTGTACTGCCCACAGAGATGGGGTACGGATCCGACAACTTGTTCCATATTATCTGTTGGGAATACAATGAGGTCCCTGTGAATAATGTCAGTAGCTTATGTGTGGACACCGACTGATTTAAACAAGTAGAGAACCCTCTTTCCTGCCTTCGGCGCATTGGGGATAGAGCGTTTGACTCATATTTCTTATTGACCAATCGGTACTCGATGGGTGATGTGATCAATCTTACATCGACCGCCTTTACTTCCCAGAAAATTATCAGGTATCCTTTGTGGCTGAGTTGACCTGGAAGTCAAGTCAATTTTGAAAAAAAGGTCATCTTTGTTGTGGATTTAAACTCTATATTTTGGCCTCAAAAGGCGAGCGTCTAGCTGCTACCCTGCAGCGACTCCCTCAGCGTCGGATATTCAAGATGAAGTTAGTCACTTAGCTGATACTGCTATTTGTGTTCAAGCTGTACGAAAGACTTGCTAAATGAAGCCACCCTTTGTAGACGTGTATAGCTAGTCATGCGTCGTAGTATGCCCCTTCCTGTAACGAGGTGCTTTTGTCGCTTGGAGGTGACAAGTTCGATTTCCATGATGGTAAACTATAGCTTTTGATTTTCCAGTTCTCTAGTGTGTCCTTATATCTTTGTACTTCTTTCTATGAATGCTGATCAATACATGTCTATATCTTTGTTATATCTGATGATGAAATGTGATAGTTAGACTTTCATATGTTATCAGCTAATACGTATGAAGATCAGTTCCTGTCTTAGTGGTTTTTCTCCATTTCCAACAAAATTGCGAAAACTGTCTTAAAACCATATTCCCCGTGTGGATTCCAGGGCTTTATTTTGGAGAACAACAAATATACCTCGTGCCCCCTCCTTCATCCCAACGAGTCGACCAGTTAAGGGTCATTTCCTTGAAAGTCGGAGTCCATCTGCCCGAGAAGCAAGGAGACAACAGTCTTCATACAAATAAACCAGATCTGTAAAATAGATGTGCACGCAATACTCAAGTTCTAGAAGAAGACCTAAGTCCAGAGGTGGACAAACAACCAGAGTTTTCCGCCGGAATGTACAGCCGGTGAACGAGAAAAAGAAGAATCAATGCCCCTGTTTTACCAGACACGAACATTAAATTATATGCCACAGACGCTCCGTGTTTGGTATTAACAAGGAAACATGAATCCACATATCATATTCTACATTACTCATATCTTTTCCTAAATCTTCCATTAACTTGTTTCATCCCCGAATAACATTAAATGTAATTAAAATACAATTGTTTTTCATTGATTGTCAGATTGAAATTTCATGTGTCAAATGTCACCGTTCCAGGTTAACTCTTTCAGTTTGAAAAAAAATAAATATTGTTTTTGTAGAATAGTAACATTCTGAATCATCATATTATAACAAAACAACAACGTGAAAGTCCCTGCAGGCTACGTATTTGTGTAGGCTTTTTTTTTTCTTTCTGTGTAGGGTTACTAATATATCTTGTAATATTTTATAGCCATACGAAAGGCAGCTAGATAGATAAGCGGTAAGTCTACGAAATAGAAGTCAGGTTATGATAAAAGAGATATATCTACGAATCACAATAATATAAATGACTGTTGTCGAAACAACAGACGGATTTATGATATGGAAATTACACAAAATAGTCGAGCTAAAAACAAGCAATATTAAATACATTGTTTATTTAAAGATCATCTTCATCGCACATTGCACATGAAAATTAGTACTTTAAACTCCTCCTGTGTATGTCTATAAGTATTTTTTGGCTAACGACTTCCATTCTGCTCTGGTTTATGTAACAAGCGCACTCTTTCCTATTCTCAGGAGAGTGAGCCGCGGTAGGTATCAATGACCTTCCATAGAAATATCACTTTAACAAAGCCTAAACAAGCCGTATTATCATTACCTACAATGAGCAGATGATGTCACATTTCGACACATCCTGAAGGGAAGACAAAAGCAAAATTCTTCGGACAGATTTTTTAGTAAAGCCAAAACTTGTGATGCTCAACCAAGTACAGGTAGTGAAAAGAGAAAGCAAAATAGAGCATTCCTGGTTTCACTGGACAGGGACTCTGTTTCAGTCAATAAAATTCCTTCTCCTCCCTTCTCAATACCATTCTAGCAGCCACCGGACTCTCTTTATGATGTAACATTGTGTTACATTTTCGTCTAACAGCATTAGTTGGTACATGAAATATTTTTATTTAGCAACATCAATGAAAAGTGTGCCAAAACAATAAGATCTGTGTCTTAAATGGGAACGGATTAATCATTATCCCTTTTATTTCTTACTGGAATATTCGTTTGTAGTACGTATTGTTTGGCATGCGTCCAAAGACCAGGAACGGATTTAGTACTTATACCGAGGTATAACTGTATTTGTTTTAGTGACACACTAGAGTATCTGACCAATGAATAGTAGTTATTTTGTGCTGGAAAACGTAATTTCCAAGAATGTTTACAATTTCTTGAACAGCCAGAATGATTAATCCAGATGGCTGGAAACAGTCACGGAGCCGAAGACAACTTATTACAGATATCAGAAATAGACGGTCATCACTGCTTGGTCATGTTTCAAGAATAAACAAACTGGAACATGTCGTGGCGACTGACCAGATTTGTGGAAAGTGAGTGGGTGCGAGACGATTCTTGACAGCTTTTTACTCGTGGAATATAAGAGTGTCAGTACACGAACTGACAAATGCTAAGATCGCATGTCCGGGACAGGCATGATCGCCCACTCTAGACAGCAAGACACTTGATGGTGATGAATAAACATGGCATGAGTTTGTCTGAGATCTTCAACCTGACATTCCTGACCAGCAACAATTGAAGTCTACTCTAACAAAGAGCAACTCTAACAAAGAGCAACTCTAACAAAGAGCAACTCTAACAAAGAGCAACTCTAACAAAGAGCAACTCTAACAAAGAGCAACTCTAACAAAGAGCAACTCTAACAAAGAGCAACTCTAACAAAGAGCAACTCTAACAAAGAGCAACTCTAACAAATAAACTCTAACAAAGAGCAATAGGAATAAACTCACAGGGAGCAAGTACAGCGGGGATCTACCAGTCGTCAGTAGAAATTATCCTCGTCGACACACGTTTCGGCCCACGATTCCTAGACGTATTCGGAGGTGGGCCCACCTGAGTTCATGACGCTCAGGGCTGGTTCCCCGCTGCACGGAATTACCGGATGGTGTTATTATTTCGGCCTGAGACAAGACGACTTGGTGGTTTCGCAGGAGGTACTGTGAGATAAGAAGCCGCCACGGCAGCCTAATTAGAACAGTCAGCGTGCCTGGACGACCGAGCGACAAGCTTACTTTGGTTTACCGGACACATGTTGGACTTTTATTAGCAGTTGGCAGAGGAACACTGGCAGACAATTCGGACACGATGGACTTTTCAAAGGGATGAGAAACTCTTTTCCACTAGATACCCGGACCAGCTCACCGAGGCCCGTCCCCTACGTTGTTGCGCTGCGTCCAAAGCCAGCTAGAGGCCCTTTCGGCCACCTCTCCCAGTTTTTTGAGTGTTCGTTTCCGTTCATTACCGCGCAATCCTAGTTCTTTCACCACATTGTAGAGCGAAGTGGAAACGAGGCCTCTCGCTCCCACTTCGACGGCAAAAACCCGTACTGTGTAAGCCTCGTTTCTCCTCAAACCGGCTGCTAAATCACTGTACTTCTCGAGCTTGTACAAATGATTCTCCTCCATACGCGACTCAAACGGGACCGTCAGCTCAATCAGGATGAGCTGCCGTTTTTGCGCAGAATGGAGAACGATGTCCGGTCGCAGGCCGGTTTTACGGATCAACTCGGGATACCGTTCATGGCCTGGCAGATCAACCGCCAGTAACCAGTCCCTCGCAGAGTCTAGCACAGATGGAGCGAATGCGTTTTTGTTGACCTTACCAGTTGGAACCTGCCCAGCCTTGAGGAAGCGAATGGGGGCGATACTAGAACTGGCTCTGGCGTTAGCCCTCATTCTAGCCTGGTCGACAACGGCTGCTAACTCCTTTAGCACCTTGTTGTGGCGCCATGTATATCGGCCTTGACCTAGGGCTTTCCTGCACGCGGACAGGACGTGCTCAAGAGTTTGCTTCGATTTGCACAACGGGCAAGTCGGATCGTTGGTCGCAGACCATTTAACCATATTAACACCGGACGGTAATACATCGTACGCCGAACGAACGATAAAGCTCAGTCGCAGCGGGGTCATCCGCCAGATCTCACCCCATGTGTGTATTCTTGGCAATGCGCTCTCCAGGCTGACCCAATGGCCCTGCTGCGACTGCTGGGCTGCTTTCTGGACCCGAACCTCGTTTTAGTTGTCCCTCACCGTTTGTATCACCATGTCTCGGCGTTCTTTGGCTGAGGCCTTTGACCACCAATTGACTTTCCCGTGCCCTAGGCCTCGACGGTCGGTTTGTGTGTAAACCATTATCTCTCTCAATTTTAGTGCATTCTGGGCATATTCTATCGCATCGAGGACCCTCCACTTCTGACCAGTCTTTAGAGCGGGCTGGACAGCGATGACATTTGGGTCTGAAGACTCGCGCAGTAGCATGGCGAGCCTTACTTTGCCGACTTTAAACTCTTCGGTTATCGACTTGAACGGAAGTACTAGCTTAGCCTGTTTACAATACAGAGCCACGTCGGTCAGACAAGGCGGTGCACCAATCCACTTTCTCAAGGCTGTGTTGATTTTCTTTTCCATGGCTTCCACTGCAGTCATCGTCACCTCGTAGACTGACAGTGGCCATAGGAGTTTCGGAATCAACATGAATTGGAGACACCATACCTTGAATTTTCCGACCAGCCTGCATCGCTCGATCGCGAGCAGGCCTGTAGCCAGTGACTCATGTATTCGCCGGACCTCCGCTCTATCGGATAACTTCGAATCGTAAACGCGACCGAGACTCTTCACCGGTTCCTCCAGAACCGTGGGGATCTTGTTCCTTGCCACCGTAAAACTGGTTGCCACCACCAGACCCTTATTGATTGACAGACTCCTCGACTTCTGCGGTTTGAACTGCATACCGCTCCATTGGACCACCGCGTCCAATCTTTCCAGGATCGTGCGGGCAGTCGTGTTATCCATAAAGGCACGTAATGGTGGCATCCAGTGGTCCCCAATTTGAAGGCCCTGTCCGTAGCCGGCCGCCCCGTCTAACATGATCTGCATTGCCATGACAAACAGTATGGGTGAGATCGTACACCCCATAGCTATCCCAATCTGCAACTCAGTCCACCTCGTGGTAAACGTCGAGGTAGAGAAGCGCAAAGCGAATTTGGAGAAATATTGCTCGACCATTTGACTGATCTGTGCCGGTACGTGAAACATGCGAAGGGCTCGCCACAGTAGCCTATGGGGGACTGCCCCGTAGGCGTTGGCTAAGTCCAACCATATAACGTGCAATTGAGTTCTCTCATGCTTGGCTCTCTGGATAGCCTCCCAAATCATGGTCGCGTGTTCAAGGCACCCAGGAACGCCTGGGATACCACCCTTCTGACACACTCGTATCTATGTACTTGTTAGTCATCAGATACTGTGTGAGCCGGCGAGCCATGACTGAGAAGAATATCTTACCCTCGACATTCAACAGCGAGATGGGCCTGAATTGGGAAAGACTCTTCGAGTCCTGCTCTTTGGGAATGTAGACCCCATTTGCCTTTGACCACACTCTGGACATATGTGGTTGCGGATCCACGCTTGTCTCAACAAGACGTGAAGCATTTTTAGGATTTTCGGGCAACGCTTGTAAAGAACGTACGGGACACCGTTCGGACCTGGGGCAGACTTGCCGCTGGCCTTTTTAACAACGTCCTCAACCTCAGACCAAAGGGGAGGTACCATTTTAAATGGTACCTTCGGCACCGAAGGCTGTTTGAGACCGCTAAGGATCTCTGGATTGTCATCGAGAGGCTCTCTCCTCTTTTTATCCGAGTACATCTTGCGTAGATGTAGCTCTAGTTCTTCCTGACTGACAACCAGAGTCCCAGACTTCAGTTGCTCGAATAGACCTCGGGCAAACTGATACGGGTCCCTAAAGAATTTCTCTCGCTCCCTTTTGGTTCTACGTCTGTTGTTACAAAAACGCTCGGCACGACAGAGGGCACTGTGTTTGTTCTTTAAATGCAACCAAACTTCATACAGCCCCTCCCGTTCGCTGCCTGTAGCGGCTTTGAACCGTTTTCTGAGGGCATTCTTGTCTGCCCGACACTTCAGAATGTCCCTCTGCCTCCTGCTAGTATTCTGCTTGGCACCCGGCTGTGCCTTTCCTACTGTCCCGAACTCGCGGGAGCAGTGTTCATATATTACATCACCAAATTTTGTAAGCTTGTCGCCTAGCGACTTCTTGTTTAGAGTTTGTTTAAGCACCTCACATAATGTAGCCTCCAACTTACACCACACCACCTTCTCGCTCGCAGGTGGAAACCTGATTCTGGAGCGCACTTCTTCAGAAATCATCAAAGGTGCTCCTCCGCAGTCGACGTCATGGGCCTCTCCGGGCGAGTGGGGTTCACCCTGCCCGTCGTTCCCTAACGACTCAGAAACTACCACAGGAGTAGTAGTTTTGCGACGGCGTTTACAGCAACTCTAACAAAGAGCAAAATGATCACATTATATGATACAGGACGATACGTACCCTCCTGTTTCCTAGATCTTTAACTGTACACGTCAAGACAGCATCTGTGCCAATCTGGTGTGTTATCTGAATACCCTTGTCGCCAACCACTTTCTGTGATGTTGCAACTGCAAAGAAATAACATGGAACTGTTAAGTATTACATCTTCAGCTATCTCCGTGTATATTCCGGGGCCTTATTTGCGCCTCATCTGGCAAGTAATCGACCCACTGCCCCTTTACCAACATGTCGTAAAAAGAGATCAGGGAGTTGCTGGAATGGAAGGTGTTGCATCGAAGGGTGCATGTACAGGAACCTAGCTGTAAAACAACACTTGTCCCCTCCCCCCAACCCTTTAAGCGTTAATGCAAAAGAAGCAGAAGAAGAAGAAAAAGAAGAAGAAAAGACAAAAGAAGTAAAAAAGAAGAAGAAGAAGAAGAAGAAGAAGAAGAAGAAGAAGAAGAAGAATCGAACCTAATAAATTCAAATTATGAACTGGATTCATAACTCTTTAAACTCAGTCTGCGAAGAAAAAGAAACAGCTCAGAAACTAGTCCGTCCTATCTTCTGTGGAGATGACGGACTTGATTCAACTGGCAGTGACATTTGTGACATGTTAAAGCCCCAACAGCTCGTTAGACTGCGATCAATGACAATTCTCAGATCATAAGTTGCGGTCAGCCGACTCACCGCAGACGCACCAAATCCACAAGCTTCACTTTAAATATCAGATGCATGATGTTATGGGAGATAACATGTGGGCATGGAACGTTTTATCTTTAGTATTCACAGGTTGAAAACTCCATCAGTTCTGCTTGCTCGTCCATTTCTGAACATTAGTCTTGTTCCAGAAAATGAGTTTTGCGAGCAGATCCGTTTTACACATCCGGGTTATTTGTAAGCAGTTTAGTTCTTCGCTTTCCAGGCAGATCTACTCCGACTTCGAAGGAAACATCTCTAATTAGTTGACTTTTACGACCTGCCTGTTAGAGGGAAACCCCCCCCCCCCTCCCCCGCTTACAATAATGCCCAGGAACCCAAACTGGGAAGATTTTATTCAGCTGCCACCGATTTGGCAGCAGATAACTTTGCGTTGATTTCAATAATGGTATTAGCGTTGAACCATTGACTTCACATTGCTGAACGTAAAATTGCCTAGTACAACAAACATTTATTGGGGTTGGGTTGCAACGTCTTGTCAAAGATTTGCTGTGTAGTCCGTTTCAAAAGTCGCACCCTCAAACCGAAAACTCCTGTACGGATATGAATTTGTGCACGTGATCTGGAACTTCTCATGTCCTTATGATTTCATCATTTACAACTGCACAGGTGCTGCTGTTTTCTCACAACTCATCATTTCTTCAAAGAAGAAGAAGAAGAAGAAGAAGAAGAAGAAGAAGAAAAAGAAAAAGAAGAAGAAGAAGAGGAGGAGGAGGAGGAAGAAACAAAAGAACCATCTTTCCTCTTTTCCACTGTATTTTGCTGTCTAGTATTTTCCTTAACGTCGTTTCCATGTTTAGCATAAACCAAGCCACTATTTACGATATTTTTGAGATTGTTAGGTGCACAACCACTTTCATGACCTAACGAACTTTTAAAATTCGCTCGAAACTAAAGTTTACATATTTTTCCAATCTAGCCACGCCAATGAATCAACCCGGCTATTTGTCAAGACTAATAATTTGTGTCATCATCATGTAGCAGGTCCTTTGCAGGACGTCGCTCTCATCACAGTCTGCCTGAAAGAAACTCTGTCTTTCGCCAGTTCTCCTGCTTCATGTACTTTCATACTCTAGGAGTCACTTATATTCTGTGCCCATTTTCGTGTCTTTCGGCCCCTGCCCCTCCTTCCTGGTACCATGCCTTCTGCTATAATTTTTTCCAATCCGTCGTGGAGCTTGATATGACCAAAATATTTCAGCTTTCGAGACAGGATGCTGTTTATTAGCCAATATTCCTTGATGTTCAGATCTTTTAAGATGTCAATATTTCTCCTCTTCTTTTTCCAAGATATTCTGAGAATCTTTCTATAGAATTTCAGCTCAAAAGCCCCTATTCTCTTTCTTAAGGACTGAGAGATAGTCCACGACTCACATCTGTATGTAGCCACAGGGAAGATGCATGCTCCAAAATATAATAATTAGATAATTATAATTAATAATAAATAATAATATTAATTATTATTATAATTATTATTGATAATAATATAATAAATAATTTATATACTCCTAAAAATTATACAGTATTTGACACAAATCGTGTACTTTGTATGAGCAAATAAACAAGCATCGTGGCAGTTCATGTTGTAATTATTTTACTATTGAAAGTCGTTGCACTTTAGTTTTCCGCACGGATTACCTCTAAAACGTGTGCAGTTTGATGTTTTGCCAACTTCAGCTCAAGCTGTTTTACTGTAAACGCGCTGAGTGTATGCTTTGAACCGGTGTCCGTTTTTTTTTTTCCCAGACACCCCAAATAAAAACACACCCACGGATATTTGTTTGAGTTTTATTTCTTCACCTACTGGAAATGATTATTATTGGTCCAACACCATTATCTTAGCAAACTCTTAATCAGTTAGTTATACTCGTTCCTATGTGGGATGCCATGTTTTAGTTATTTTGAAGCCCCATTCTGGCTTTTGCCGGGGGCCCTAATTATAGTCGGGCCTTAAATATGGCCTAACGACTGAACGGGGTTTCCGGGACCTCTCCACGGGTGATCCTCATCCGCATTGTGGCACTTTATGTCACCTGGTGTTTATCGCTTGTTTGATATCCTGGTGGGGTACAACCTACCTACCTACCTTAATCAGCTGTCTTTTACCACATGCTTCTTGGAGGGTGGGGAGTCTAATCTCTTTTCACACCATACTAGGGCCACTGAACTCACAAATGGAAGTAGACGAATGACTCTAATAAACCAATAAACTGCCACAGGCCCAAATCGCCTTCTAAACTGCGGTTTGAAAATTTAATTCCCTTCTAATACAAGAACCCAACTCACGCCCAGCCCACTGAAGCAAGCAGACGACAAGGTTATTGCAACTGAAGTCAACACAAAACTTGGCTTCGGAGCACTCCGGGAGGCTGCCCCATTGGTCGTTAAACTGAATTATTTGCCTGTACAAAGGTTCCAACCGTCTGTGGAGTTCTGTCATGAAACGGCAACACTGCAGATTGAACATAGGATATTGTGGCAATCAAGTTGAAAATATTAGCCGACAGTGTGGAAAATTGCCCCACGAAATCTGCGTGTAAATTCCTGTCTTAATTTCTTGCTGTCAGAATCGATTCCGGCACGATTTATCGGTTCTGGAGGTAATAGCACGCGATTCTAGAGCCAGGCAGGAAATCTGAGTTGTTGAGGAAGAATTAGAGAATAGCTTACAAAAACGTAGCTTGATGGGAAATTTTAAATATTTTATGTCCAAATGAAGCCGGCCAATCAGATTGCTTCCTTAAATATGGGGGATTTATTAGATACGATTAACACGTCAATATGTGTGTGTGTGTGTGTGTGTGTGTGTGTGTGTGTGTGTGTGTGTGTGTGCGTGCGTGCGCATCTGTGAACGTGAGTGAGATTCCTTTGGACATGTTTGTTTTACAAGCTGATCTTGGGGAGTAATGAAATGCTAAGTGTTATGCAGTGTCCTATATAGTTGATACAGTGTCCAACTATGCACCATATAGCGATTAGAACGCCAAAGAATATATATATATATATATATATATATATATATATATATATATATATATATATATATACATATACATATACAACATATATACACAACCCTTGACCCGTTAGAGTCGTGGAGGTATATTGATAGAAGCTATAGCACACACAACTCCCCCCCCCCCTCCTTCTGTGAAGTGGTTTGGATTTGCTGTAATCAAATATGTTAGAACTAAAATATTAGTTATCGCATTTCAGCTTAAGTGACAAAACAACGTGTCAATCGTTGGTTTAAGGACGCATGCAGGAGGAGGAGTGTCATAAAAGACAATCGGTCTTTATAGGAGAGGAATAAACTTATCAGAAATCCATCACTCCTTAAGTCAGAAAAAAAAAAAATAAAAAAAATAAAAAACTGCTGAAGCGCCCCGACTGTGCCCCAGGATATTATTATATAAGCAGACACCGATTCCTGTTGTAGGAACTAGAAAGTAGGTGGGACCCAATGGGATACAAAATGTGGACACCTGGGAAATATCTAGTTAAAAACCGACCCACAGTTTATATATCCCCCAATTGTTTTTTACAGTAAAGATGAAGAAACATTCTTGTAGAACCAGCATACATTCTTATAATAGATAAAAAAATAAGAATGAAGTTAACATTTCAACATTTATTGATCATACTTAAATAACAAACAATAATCATGAACTATAATAGGGCCAAAAATCTAATGGATTTTGCTTTCTCCTCCTACTCCAGACTGCTCCTAGCTGTATTTAAGTTCCTAGAATATCTTTTCCAGCGCACCAAACGGTGACGCTGATTGGAGAATACAATGTCCCTGGCTCCCTTGCTGGAGTTCATTCACATACCCCTGCCACCTAACTTTAGGTTTATTTATTTCAAATAAACATTATTAAAGTGGGCCGTCTGTCTGATGGGCAGTTAAGAGGAAAATTCAAATCCTTTCTGTAACAAGGATTAGAAGAAAAAAATCACTGTGTGGGTTCCGGGGCCCTTTTATCGGGAAAACAAGAATATACCCACTGTCTCCCCAAAAGCATGTTGTAAGAGTCGACTAACTGGGAGCTGCCTTCGAAGTCGGAGTGCATCTGCCTGAGAGACAAGGAACCAACAGTCTGCACAAAAATGTGTCAGCTCTGTAAAACGGATGCACACGCAACACTCAGGTTCTGGAACAGAGCTGCAGTCCAGAAGTGGACGAACAACCAGAACTTTCCACCAGAGTTTACAGCTGGTGAATGCAAAGAAGGAGGAGAAGAAAAAGAATAAGATAAATAATAACAACAAGAAAAATAAGAAACAGAAGAAGGAAAAAAAAAGAATATTCAGAATTAGAGTAGGAATTTTAAGAAGAAGAAGAAGAAAAGAAGAAGAAGAAAAAGAAGAAGAAGAAGAAGAAGAAGAAGAAGAAGAAGAAGAAGAA